ACTCTTTCATTTAAAACTAAAAATGAAAATACATATATGCACATGCCTGCTTAACAAAAAAGAACTAGGAGGTTATAATATAACAAGGAGGGCTTCTCTGGTGGCACCGTGGTTGAGCGTCCGCCTGCCGATGCAGGAGACACGGGTTCCTGCCCCGGTTGGGGAAGATCCCACATGCCGCGGAGAGGCTGGGCCCCTGAGCCATGGCAGCTGAGCCTGCGCGTCCGGAGCCTGTGCTCTGCAACGGGAGAGGCCACAACAGTGAGAGGCCCGCGTACCGCAAAAAAATAAAAAAACAAGGAGTTATTAGTGATTTACCTTCCCTTTTTGGAATTCTCCAATTTTTCTACAATAAGCATGAATTGCTTTTTGTTTTTTAAAGTTTGAAAAATAACAGAGATAATGACTTTTGTCCTGCCTGCTCATGGGGTGTTGTGAGGGTCATATTTATGTCTAGAAATTTAAGCAAGACCTCAACCTTAGGGCGAGGACCCCTGGACACAACTCCTCCCCAGAAGTTTTTCCTGCACCTCTAGGAAAGAGGTAATAAATTTCTTTTCTGGATTGCGGAGACAGCGCGTGTATCTTTTGGGGGGTAGGGTGGGTGGTGGGTAAAGGTTTGGGATCAACCGTATTTCATCGAATATGAGACGCTATTAAAGGTTAACGCCACCATTATTTTACGGTCAACTAAGAAAGAAAGAACAAAAATTGTCAACTAAACTATGTCACACTTGATTAGACGCTGCGTCTGGGTTTCTGAGATGTTAAATCTGAAAAATGTTTATCCTGAAATCAATGACACATTGTTGTACTTGCACATCCCTTTCCTCTTTGGTGGGTGGACCACCTAAGCACCATTCACCTGATGCCTTCCTTCCCCGAAAACCTTCTCCTTCCCCATTCTTTAAAACCAGTCACCAAGTCCTGTCTTTTCCATTCCTGCTGCCACCTGTCTCATTATCTCTCACCTGAACCACTGCACTAGCCTCCTAGTCAGTCTGCTCATCTTACCCCTCCAATCCATTATTCACACTGCAGCGGAGTGATCATCTCACACCCCTGCTTAAACATTTCCACTGGCTGCTTTACCCGCAGGGTGAGGTCTGTTTGACTTGGCATTCGGTGTTTCATGACCTGGCCGCTGCCTGACGTTTTAGTCTCTTGGCACTTCCTCCTAATGAAATTACTTGCTGCTTCCCCAAAGCACACCATATGTTTTTTCAGGCCTCCAGGCCTTTGCACTAGCTGTTTTCTATGCTTGGACTACTCTTCCTCAGCAGGTATTTATTGAACATGTAGTAAGTGCCTGAAGCTGAGAGTGGAGGGGTGAGCAAGGCAGGCGTGAGCCCAATCCTCAGAGGCTGATGGAAAAAAGAGACAAAAAATGTCGACATACAATCATTAATTATAAGCACACATGGTGGGCATTCGTAAAGGTTTGTAGAAAATGTCAACCACGGCTTCAGAAAGTTTAGGATTCGAATTGGGCCGGGGAGGCAGTGTGGATCTACCTATGTGACTTTGGGGAACTAACGAGTGGAGTCTCCACCTCCGTGAAATGGAAAAACGCCCGCCCCATAGGATTTCTGGGAGGATTTCTTTTGAGATACATAAAATCACGCGGCTCTGCCGGACCGGAGGGCCCCTCCCCCACAGGGCGCAAAGGGTCCGCCCGCCCCGCGCGCGGGCCCCCACCCGGGAAGGCCGCTGGCTGTACGTGAGCGCCTCAGCCTGCGCCGCAGCCAGTGCGCACGAGTCGGGCTCCGACGGTCTGGACCGCGGAGCCCAGACCGCAGGCCGCCGAGAGAGCAGGGGCAGGGGCGTCGGACGCCGGGAGAGGGGAGCAGCGCTCCGCCCCATCTCCCCATTTTGGGGGATAGCCCCCCTCGCTCATTCCCGCCCCCGCCCTTGAATCACGGGGAGGCGGGGCCATGACCCATTCATGCCGGGAATCGGATCCAGATGTTCCCGCGGCGCGTGCAGCTGCATCCTTGCCTTTTTTGGCAAAAAACGTGCGGCCGCGAGCGGATCCCGGGCCGCCTCCGCTAATCCTCGGGAAGAGGGGGAAGGGGGCTGAGGGTCTGGGCCCAGACTGGGGATCCGCACCCGGTGCTCGGCGGGGTTTGGGGAGGGATGGTAAGGGAGGTGGGCGATTTGTACCCGACGGAGAACCCAACGCCTTCGGCCCGCCCTGCTCCCGTCCGGAACCTCCCCCAAACCCCTCCCTTCCCCACTCGGAGGAAAAAAACCCTTTGCCAGCAGGGGGGAAGCCAGCTAAGCCTGAGAGGGACAGTAGCGGCAGCGGGGATCCCCTTTCTCGGGAGAGATTTCCCACCCCGCCTGGCAGCTTCCTCCTCTGCCCTGCATGGAGGAGGTCGAGGTCGGGAAGAGCCTCCGAGTCTCGTGGTGTGCGAAGGAATCCTCCATGCCCCTCCACCCCCAGACAAACACACAGAGGCCTTCGCTTCCTCATACTGCTTTATTGCAGAATCTGAAAGGGGGGTGAGCCAAACCCACCCCTCTGCCCATCTCTGGGCAGAATGGAGCTGAAATGAAATGAAACGAGAAAACACTCGACAACAAGGGCTGGGCAAAACCCTGTACCCTAGGACCCCCTAACCAGTGAACCCCTGATGTGCTGCCCAGACAGCCCCATCCCTGGGAATAGCGGTGGGTTGGGGGTGGGGAATGTCAAGCCTGAGTACAGTCCACTTCTGAGGACTTCTTAGGCACCCATAGGAGACCTAAAGTCTTCAGGGGAGAAGTCTAGATTGAAGGGGGCTGGGGTCCCAGAGCCCTGATGTAGGGAGAGGGCTTCGTCTGGGAAGCCGGACCATAGGGGAGAGGACCGAGTTCTGGAGTTCAGGCTTGGGGAGGGGATTTGAATGATGGAGGCTCCGCAAGAGCCCAAGTTTGGGGGCCCTGGGTCAAGAAGTACCAGATTGGGGACGTTGGAGTGGGGAGGCTGAATCCTGGAGCCCAGCGGTAGCCCCAATTTGGGGAGGGGCTGGGTCCCAGAGGTGGTTTGGAAAAGGAGCCTTAGTCCTGGAGCCCTGGTTTGGGAGGGCCTGGGCCCAGGAGCCCTGGCTCAGGGCCCCGCCTGGCTGCAGCCCTGGCACAGCACTTGGTCTCCGTCCGGCACGAAGCCCTGGCCCACCAGGGAGGTGGAGCATCGGGCGCAGGAGAAGCAGCTGTGGTGCCAGTGGCGGTCTTCAAAGGACACATACTTGCCTTCACCGAGTCCTGGAGGGAGGCTGGAGGTTAGCTCTGCGATCTGGAGGGCGGGCGGTCCTGTCCCTCGGCCTCACCCAGTACCAGGTCCCATTCCCTTGCCTACACTCTACCCACTCTGTCCTTTGACCCTTTGTCCCACCTGTGATGGGGCGCTTGCAGCTGCTGCACTTGGGTGCAAAGAGTTCTCCAAAACAGGCCACACAGTAGGGATCGTCATCTCGGGAGGTGAACTGCTGCCCTGCCAGGGGTGTCTGGCAGCCAGTGCAGACCAGGCATTCCCGATGCCAGGGCTGGTCACGGTATGTCACGCCACCCTGCGTCAGTGTCTGTGGGGCGGCGTCTGTCAGCAGGGGGAGTGGGGATTCCTACCCCACGACAGAGCCTTGCTCACCCCACCCCTGTGTGCAGTGGAGCTCGGCACCCCCGCCCCGCCGGCCCAGCCCCCACCTTGCTGCAGCGGGCGCAGCGAGGAGCAAACTTGTTCTCATAGCAGGGCACGCAGTAGTGAGCACCCTTGTCGGGCACAAAGGAACGGGAGCCCAGCGGCTGCTCACAGCTGCTGCACAGGAAGCAGTGCTCATGCCACGTCTGGCCTCCGTACTCCAGCTTCCGGGACCCTGTGGGGAACAGGGCTCCGACTCAGAGGCTGAGTCCCGAGCTCCTGAGTGCCACCCTCTGCCACCGCCCCCCCTCCCGAGGAGGGTCCCCGCTGCTCCCACAGCCTACAGGGTGGTGTCCATGCATTTGCAGCAGGATCCCCACCGCATCTATTGCACATGCTAACCACCTCCCCCCAACACTGGATATGCTGGCTAAGCACGTGCTAGGCCCCCATAAACTAGACCTGAGGGTTTGGCATAGGTGAAGTCCCCACATGTACCAGAATATGACGATCTCAGCATACGCCAGGCTTCCCGGTCACGGGCACGATGACTCAGTATATGCTAAGCGCATATATACCAGATGTGATAGTGTGAGCACACACACAAAGACCCCATATACGAGGCAAGCAAGTCCCTGCCCAGACAGAGTTCTGCCCCGGACGTGATAGGTTCAGACCATAATAAGCCCTGGCATATCCTAATCATGCCAATCTCCATGTGTTCTAAATCCTCACATTCTATTAGCCATGCAGGTTGCCATACGTGTTAAGCCCTTTATTTATATGTCTTTGCACACACCAAGCCCCAATGCAACAAACACTGACAGTCTCAGCACACTCGTAGCTCCTATGTGTGCCAAACATGCTAAGCCCCCAGGTGTGTATCACGCGTTGTCAGTCCCTGTGCGTGCTAAGCTCCCAAGAGCAAATAAGCATGACAGATACTGCACACAGTAAATTTCCAGGAACGTGCTGCGGGTGCAGGTCTTTACCAAGCCTCCATGTTGTATCGGACAGGCATGCCAGTCCCTTACAAGAACCCTACACAGATGCCAGGCATGCCAGTCCCACGCACGAGCCCCTGGGAGCCCCCGGGAACGTACCGGGCATGACGGTCTCCCTGCAGGCGGAGCACTGTGAGGAGAAGGCAGTGCAGTAGCAGTCGTTACAGAGCAGCTCGCTGTCCTGGCAGGTGAAGGGCTCGTCAGCCAGGGAGCGCTGGCAGCGGCAGCAGCGGAAGCAACCCTCATGGAAGTGGCGGTCTTCATAGAACAGCTCCTGTGTGGAGCACAGCAGGGGCACTGGCACCTTCGCCCCCTCCTGCCAGCCTCCACCCACTCCCTGCCCTGTGTGGTCCAGTCCTTACCCTCGAGTCGTGCCCGATAAGCTGCTGGCACTCGGCGCACGTGTTGGCGAAGGTGTTGTCATAGCAGGGCACACAGTAGGGTCCGTTGTCTGTCTGGATGTATTTGCGCCCATACAGGGACTCACTGCATTTTGCACAGTCAAAGGCCTCGCTCATGGTGGCTGTGAGAGAGCCCTGTTAGGGACACAAGGTGGGGCAGGGGTCACCCAGAGGGGCTGTGGCTTAGCCCATTGCATTTAAAAAAGAGCAAGAACTAGGCATAGGAAATGCCAGGTCAGAGCAGGTGGTGATGGGGAATGGGTGTTTCTGGGAACACAGAGTCCTGCATGTTTATTTCTGTATTTAACGTTGGGGATGAGAGGGGGTCAGGAAAAAACCAGGAAGCAGAAGTTCTTTTCTTATCTTGGCCTTGGCAGAACTGGGGGGGAGGGGGCTTTTCCTGGGTCAGTGACTCATTTCCTGCCCCTGCATTTAGCCTGAGTTTAGCCTCCACTGTCCCTACTGTCCCCAAGGGGGTAAGAGCAAGGACATGGAGCCACCCCACCCTGTCCCATATGAACAGCACTCTCACCCTCCCCTGACTCCCAGGAAGGGAAACTAGGGGTATTCCCAGAGCTCTGGAGTGGGGAGCTTAGGGATGAGAATGGGGCTGTTCGCACCCCACCCCCCAAACCCCAACCAGGAAACAGCGGAATGTAAGAAGGATGCTGGGCCAGTGAATGGTGGAGGTGGAGGAGGCTGATGGGAGAAATCACATTGGGCCTCCCCTCCCAGGAGAATCCAGCAACAAGGACTTCAGAGGCTCAGCCTAGGTTTAAGCAGGAAGGAAATCCTGCAAGCTGGACACAGCCAAGCTTCCCCAGCTGGACCCTCTGCCCTCACCCCCTCCACCTCCGGCTGGGTCTCTGGTCACACCAGCCTGGGCAGCCTTGGCCTGCAACATCTGCAGCAGCTGTGGCAGCACAGATGGCCAGATGTCTGGTTTTGCCAGCAACAGGGGAGGAAAAAAGGGAAATGAGATGCTTGGGGACGGAGAGGGGAACTGGAGGTTATGCAGTGTGCCTCCTGCTGTCTCCTGCCGGTCATCACTCCTGGCAGCGACTGGCAAAGCCCCAGAATCTTTCCATCCCCTGGGTCATTATTTCCCTCTCCCTGCCTCTGGGAGAGACAGCCTCTCCCCAGCTTTTTGAAGGGTTTGGGGCCGGGGGAGTGAAGGGTGAGAGAGTGGGAGCCACTGAAGACATTTCCTCTCCAATCAGGCCCCCCTACAGTGGGCAGTCAGGCAAGGGGGAGCCCTGAGTGCTGTTGCTGCAGACACCCAGCCCCCCACCAAACCTCAGACACTTTCCATTTTCTCAGGAACAAAGCATGTTTGTGGGATGAGGTCATCCACACAGCTGCCTCTGCAGCAGGAGCTTGGGGAGTAGGGAGGGTGAGGAAGTGGGGTTCCCAGTCCCTTCTGCTGCCCCTGATTCCAGTCTCTAGCCCCAAATTCAGAGCTCCCCACCCCCAGTCCCCTCCATCATGAAGCCTGCTCTCTAAGGACTGGGATCCCAGGGTGGGTGGAGAGGAACCACTTGGACCCTAGGAAGGGGATGTTCTCACAGCTGCAGATGGGCCCCAGGAGTACAAAGGAACCCACCAACACACTCCTCCACATTAGACCCCAGTAACTGGCAGTCCCCAGAGCCTGGCCTGACTCAAGTTGAAGGAAAAGCTCTCCTTTTCTCAGCCACCCCTCCGCAGGAAATTCTAGCCAACAAGCGTGGCTCTGGTTTGGAGTTCAGACTCCAGGCGCCAGCAGACGCCCCAAGCCTAGGGGGCCTGGCTCTTCTGAAGGGGTGGCTCATGAACCCACAGCTGCCCTTCTGTACGATGGGAGGATACTCAGTTCATACCCCAGGCCAGTGCATGAGGCCGCCAGGAGCCGGGGTCTTCAGAGCCAGGACTTCCGGGGCTGGGGGCTATGCTGGAGGGTGGAGGGTATCCCTCCACCTCAGTCTGCTCCCCGCCATTCAGGCCTGGGTTTCCTCTGGCCCAACATCTGAGGGTTGCCTGGGCTGTGAGCCACTGGGCAGCGGGGGCCACACAGGTGGAGTGTGGCCATGTATCCGTCCACGAGTGCCCTGGGCCCTTCCTTCCTTCCTGGCTTGGCCCCCAACAGCTCTGTCACCTTCCCAGGTCCAAACTAGCCCTAGGTCTGCCTACTGGGAGGCAGTCACCACTCTGAGACAGGGGCACCCCAAATAGGGTATGGGTGTGGCTTCTGTTTCTTTCCCAGAATCCCCTAGTCTGTCCAGCTGGGCTCTGGTGAGGACAGAGTGAAGGGCACTATCAAGGCCCACCTGTCTCTGCCCTTTGTCTGCCCCTCCCCCCCCACCCCCTTTCCCTGGCAGGACTGGGGGACTAAAGGGAGCCAGTCCTGTATTCCTTCACGGCTGGTAGGGGGGTTGGGGGGAGAGCGCTCAGTCTGCCAGATGGCTCTCAGCCGCTGCCCCCAACACACACACCCGCCTACACCTGACGCACACACACATCTGACCCCTCCCCGTGAACCTCCTGCAGCTCAAAATGGCTGGATAAATGGCCGTGGCATGTGCTGTGTAGAGGCTTGAGCTGTGAAATATAAACCTGGGTGATCTTGGGCAAGTCACTTAAGCTCCCTGAGCCTGCTTCCCCATCTAACACTAGCTCCTACCTCTTAGGGTTGTTGCCAGGCTTAAATGTGATGATACTTGGAAAGCACCTGGGAGATACTAAGTAGTCAGTAAATGGTAGCTCTTAGTGTTTTATTATTAGCCCCTCACTCATACGGGGGTCAGTCAACAGTTTCTCAGCCAGGCCTGGGTCAGGGGGCTGGCCTGGGACTTGACCTTGACATTCTCAGGGGGGGCCCAAGGACAGAACAAAAAGGGAACCCCCTAGTTCTGCTGGGGGAGCTGAAGAGGCCCAGGCCATGGGGCTCACTGAGACCAGTGGGGCCAGTCTGACTCCAGTGAGCATAACTCTGAAACCCCCAACACAGGTACACAGGTGTACACACCTGCATGCTGCTTTGCCTCTCACAAAGCACTTTCCCACCCACCCACCATCTATCAGATCGCACAAAGGGCAGGCGGGATAGGGTATCATCCTCATTTTACAGCTGAGCACAGAGGCCAGGGACAGGGCAGGGGCATGCCCAAAGTCACTCAGGTATCAGAGAGCCCAGGTCCCCTCCCTCCCAGCCTGGAGCCCTTTCCCGTTTCCCTAGAAATGGTGGTGGATGGGGTGGTCAGCGTTTAAGAGCAGGGGGACAGGAGATGCTGGATGATATCACTAGTACAAGAGCCTGGCTCTTCTCCCCAGCTGCCAGCCCTGTGACTGGAAGACACCCAGAAGTCTTTCCAAGTACCCATGCCAACCGCTCAACCCCTTCGCCCCCCCTCCACCCCCCACTGTCCAGGAGGAACCTGGCCAGGTCCCACAGCTGTGACTCAGGATCAGAACAGACCCCTCCCCCAGCTTCCAGGAGTTGACAGGGTACTTGAGGGGAGAAATCAAACTCCCCCCACCCTCACCCCTGCTACTAGGCATCCACCCCAAACTCTCCACTCTCTTCCCCACCCCCGCCATGGGGCCTGGGAGTCAGAGCGGTTTGGGAGAAGGGGGTGGGAAGCAGGATCCAGCAGCTGCTCTGGGGACAGAAGAGGAACAGTTCATTCACCCTGCGTCCCCCAGGGCTGAAGCAGCGTGTCCAAGATTTGAGTTTAAAAATAAGCTGGGGCTGTCTCGGAGAGTGCGTAGGGCTCCTTCGAGTCTTACTGTCTCATGTCTCAGGTCCTCTGCCTCACGGGGGCTCAGTTGGCCCAGTGTTTCTGTTTCCCCACATCCTCCCTTCCCAATCTTTCAGGCCTGAGTCCCGCGGGCTCTGTCTTGAAAACTGTCACTGCCCCTCCATGACATCTGTCTCTTGGTGTCTAGCTGTGCTCCACTCAGCATGTCTGTGTCTGTACACTTCAGCAGCTGTCTGTATGTTTCCGTGTCTCTGTGTCTCTGACTGGCTATCTCCCCACGGCAGCCTCTGTGGATTTCTACCACTGTCTGCCCAAGTCTTGGCATCTCAAGGGTCTCTAAAGGGTGGAATGTCTTGATCCCTACCCACCGCCCTTCTCTATCTCTTAGCATCTCTGTATGCCTGAGTGTGTCTGTCTCCAGTCTCTGGATGTCTTTCTAGGCCTCTCAGAGGCTGGTTTATCACAAGGCTAATGAAGCTTAAGCTTCGGGGCCCCTCATTTGCCCAGAACCCTCCAAGACCCTGGAGAGGGCTGACAACACGTCTGGGGTCACTGCATGCTTTTTCCTAAAATGCTCCGCTCCACAAAACCTGGGTCGGACCCTATGCCTCGGGTCTGCCTCCCGGTGACTCTACGCCCAAGTCTCTGTCCCTGTTTCGCGTATCTCCGCAGCCTCCTTGTCTAAGCTCGCCGCTCCTGACTTGTCTCGGTCTCTTGCTCCACCGGGCGTTCTGGAAGCCGGTTTCTCGAACCCTCCCGGTCTCTCTCGACTCTCGCTTTTCCATTTCAAACTTGGCCCCCTGCCCCACCTAACTGGCGTTGCAGCGCCCGGAGCGGTACGGTTCCGGGGCGCCCCCCGGGGCTCGGCGCCCACGCGCCACCGGCTCCTAGCGTGTTCCCTGCGCCCGCAACCGGACCCAGGCGGGGGCAGGGGGCGGGGGCCGCGGCTGCCCCTAACCCCCGGCTGGCCGCCTCTCCTTTTCCGCCAGAGGGCGAGGGCCGGGAGCCGGGATGGGGAGCCGGGCTCGGCGGGAAGCTCACCTCGAGGCAGGCGGCGAGAGCGGGGCGCGGCGCTCGCGCGGGGCGGGGGTGGGGTAGGGGGTGGCGGGCAGCCGGGGCCGCGTCCCTCGGCGCCTCCTACCTGCGGGCCGGGCCGAGCTGGACCAAGCTAGCTGCCGGCGAGGCTGCCGGCGGCGCAAGGACTGTGTGGGCGAGCGGGAGCGCGGCCCCAAGCCCTCCCCGAGGAAGTGAGCGCGGGGGCCCGCCCCGCCCCGACCCCCCCCCCCGCCCCCCC